TTGAGAAGTAATTTTGAATATTCCGTATATCGGTCTTCTTTAATTAATAAAGTTGTACCGATTGGTATGCCACCACCCAAAATATGTGTAGGATTAATAATTAAGAATTCATATAAAAGGTGTCACGCAGCTTTGGCGTAAAAAATGAACGAACAACGGCATAAACTTTCAGGAAAGGATATCATCGAGTGAAGGCACGCCCGTTGAGATTAATAATTGGCCATTGTATGGAGATAATCGTGTTCCTGGCGGCGGTTTCGAAGATTGATTTATGTTTACTCCACCTACGCCCCGCGAGGTTTTCTTCGTGAAGGAACTACCACTAGTATTCATGATCATTAGTAAATGTGACCTCAGATATTCAGATTATATTTGACATCTGATCATGAATAAATATTGACCAATCACATTAACATACATGAGTTGAATATCGTAACGCGCACTGTTTATTATATTTTTTAAAGGCAGTAAATATTAGTTAAGATTTCCGGGGGGAAAAGTATGGCGTGTAATTAAAGTGTCAATTGCATATTTAATTATTATCATTCTTAAATCAAAACACTTATTTTCATCATAACAAAAAATAAACTTTGTAACATTAAAATACGTTATAAATAATTTCAATTTCGTGTCAAGAAAACTGATCAAAGTATTTTTCTCGTGTTAAAATTATAAATTATAAATCTCAATTTAAAAGAAACCAATTTATTTTACTTATTTGGAATTTTAATTATAGTAATTGATTATTTATTTTTGATAATTTATATCTTTTACAAACTTGATGATAAGTTATATATTTGACATAACAGAATTATGTAGGAATTCTTCAACTCTTTTTACGTATGCAATGAATTTTAGACTTTATATAAACATAACATCCATCATCGAGGAAGCAACTTTGGATCCATATCGATTACTACGATATGTAACGCAGTGAGAAGCTTAAATAACAATGTGACAGGCTAAGATGATGTCTGAAAGGTAAACATAATTTACTTGCGGCTAGAAAACTTCAAACGTACATAATAATATATGTAACAACATTTTCAATTTACATCTATTTTTTTTTTTTTTAAAAAAATAATAAAATATTCGTCGTTCGAAAACAAATCCATCTATCAGAACATAAAAAAAACAACAATGGCGATAAACAAGACTAGTTCTTTGCTATGGAAATACGAGTCCCTGTGTGTTTTTTTACTTAATATCTGCCGCAGATATAATATACAGTATAATTTATCAAATCGTTTAATACAAAAATCATGATGACCGGAGTAATAAATATTTCACAAAGTCACAATGCACGACCTCACAAACGTCATTACCAAATGTACAGTATCGAAAAAACCTAATAATTCCATGATCTAGCGATTCTCATTGTCACGAAATATCCAATTCTCAACAGAATCCATATGCCATCATAGTTTCTTCTCACGTTCCTAATTTGCAATGTATCAAAAATTTAATCGAAAACGACAAAGAAAACTATTCTCGTCCACTCCACGTAAACAGCGTTCGATTTCCTTACCTGTCTTCCTTGGACGCTATCAACATGATCCAAAATACTGCCTACTACTCTGTTATAAGTTTCGCATCGATCTTTTATAGTTAACCAGAGTTCTTCGATCTGTTCGGACAACACATGGTCACCGTGTCCAAGTTCCACAGCAATGTTTTCCAAGTTGGATTGGTATTTCTTCCAATATGCAAGAATCATCTTTAGTTGAAAAATAACATCAATCAAGTTGAGTTCTATCATTCGCGTCTCTTTATCATTCGTGGTCGCCGTTAGTTTACTGGTGTACTCAAGTTCCTCGTCAATTCGATCCGATTCTCTGGCATGCAAGCAGGAACTTATTCTGAATATTATTCCAACCCCAACCAGCACAAAACCAAGCATCAACATCGTCAGATTAATTGGTAATACTATTGATTCATTAACATCTCCTAGAGCGCATATGACAATCAGTATGGCACCAAACATCACACCACCGCCAAACAAAAATAAATTCTTGGAGCGGAGGTTATGAACTATCGATTTCTTCTGGTGAATGAGCAACTGTGTTTTATAATAAGGAATCTCTTCTATACGTTCACTGAGATCACATTTATGTCTACGAAGTTCTTCCTGGATGTACCCCAGTCGTCTTAGTACTCCGTCGTAATCGTTTCTCAATCCTTTCACCGATTCCTTGATATCTACACAATCCCTAATGAGTCCCTTGGGAATGGTGTGATGGTTTGCATCTATTATTGCGGTTTTCATTTTATTAATGTAATTGATAACACTCTCCGCATGTGACATTATCTGATTACTATGCTTGATAGATTGCACGGTGGCAATGTAGAATACTCCATCTTCGTTCGCGATTTTATCCAATTTTTTCCGAAGATATTCATCCGACGTGGCTATCTTGCATTCGTAGAACGATTGGAAAGCACTAGAAATGGCCTCTTGGAGATCCGAAAGATTCGTTTGGAACACCGGAGATTTTGGCGGACTTGCGATTCGACCTTCTTGTCGATTCTTTTGCTCAAGCATATTTGACGGGGTCAAGTAATCTCTCGATTCGGATTGTGTCATGTTAGGCGAGCAGTATTTTTTTTAGAATTCGAGGAGAGATTCCAAAGAGAAATGATTCTCCTCATATAATTCCGAAATTGAACGCCTGTACAACCGTGGTGATCATGAATGGAAATAAATTGGTATTAGTTATCAATATTACCATTACGACTATAAACTTTCGTTTTTAGAAATGATTTCCTTTGCATGTAATACAATGCATATAATGCATGTACTGTATAAACGTTAAGTGCGACTATGTGATCCTTTCTTCACGTCATCTTACGTCATTTTTTCGCCTAGATATTTGCAAATCTGAGAGGAAAATTGATTGATATTCTTTGTCGCGATTACGTAATCAATTTTCGAAATGGCTCAACCTTTTAGGCCAACCCCGGCTTCCCAGCAAGTCGTGGAAGACACAGGTGTGTATTTATGGTCCCGTTCATTTTCGAATTCCTGTCGAACTTCGAGATTCCACATGAGGGCTTTTTTTTTACCCAGCAAAGGTGATGGACCGGACGTGGGAAACAATCCAGGAAAAAACTTTTACAAAATGGTAACGAATCGCAAAATATTACCAGCAAGTTCACACCGTAGAGTTATTATCGTCAATTCTTCCTTTGATTTGCCGCAACAGGGTGAACAGTAAATTGGCTGACAAAGGCATCGAACCTATTACAGACTTGGTTCGTGCGATGTCTGATGGTGTGCGTTTAATTCAACTTTTGGTGAGTTACTAAAATATTTCATTTGGGCGTTCATTGATCCTT